CAGTTATATTTGGCTTGGGGATAAGAAAGCTTCCGTATTCATTGCCATTGATTCCTGGTTGTCCGCTGCGTTAGCTCATCATTCCCACCCAATTATCGTAATAAGGTGTTTCGGTGAGGAATTTTAGAAAATTAGCATTTAGGAGTTTTCTGTTGGGCGACACTTTTATTAAGAAACCGGCAAAAACTAAAGCCCCATCGTTTTCATCATAGAGATAGGTTTTTCCAACAGTCGCGCCAGTTCTTGCAAAGACCAGATCTCCAGCTTTCAAGATGTATTGCTCTGAAAGCAGAGAATCAACACACTTTCTTCCCGTTTTGGAAAATTGCCCATTTTCATCAATATCGGTTATTCTAATGTAGGTCGGAAGATTGTCCCTAAAATCAACTGCTGCGGCATTTATTCCATAGGTCGGTCGTTCATTGCATAGGTCCATTAATCTTTCCACCTCCCATTCCTTCGGCACCATCCCCAACTTACTTTCTTTATACAACTCAGGCGCATCTTCATACTTAGGCCGTAGCTTGCCCGTTTGCATATCAATTCCACGGGTAAATAAATCATGCAGCATGCCTTGTTTAATGGCTTTATATTTCGCAATCGCCGCTTGAGTTTTTTCTATTACAGCATCAATGGTGCTGAGGATTTTGGCGATTTTTTTTTGATCTTCTGGGATTGGCACTTCTACATTGAGTTTCTTTATTATGCCACCTGTGATAACAGGTTGTGCACTTTGAAATGCAGCGTTTCTAAGATTGAGGCTTGACAGTAAGTAATACCAGAATTTTGAATCTTGTTCTTTTTGAAGAAAAGAAACAATTAAAGCATTATCTGTAATCCAACTTTTTTCATGTGTAATATGAATATTGCCACAGTGAGCACCGACTCTACCAATTATTAGTTGACTTGTTTCAAATAAATAATCTTCGTGTAAACCAACAAATCCATTTCCTCCATAGACGTTGTGTGGACCAGACTTCATTTTCCATTCTGGTAATCCGGTTCCACTTGATACCGAAATATATTTTCCTAAATTGCTTTCTTTCCAATTATTCATATCCCAGTTCTACAAAATAGTTTTCCAAAGAAGCCGCTTCTTGATCTCGTTCTTCCAAGATAACATGCAGCGGCAAGGTGTATTTAGTTTGCAGCTTCTCTAGAGCCAGCAAAAGCTTTCGGCGGTGCGCTTGCAGGTAGCCACCAATCGTTTCGTCCAGCACGCGCTTCCATCTTACCAAGATCAAATCTTTGGCCTGCTCGTCACTAATTAATATCCTGGCCTGGTCCACCAGTGCCTGCTGCTTGTCCTTTATTTGCTTAATAATTTTCTTGCATTGCTTCAATTCCTCCTCTAAGCCAGTGTGTTTTGCAAAGCGCGCTTCGTCCGCCATTATCTGCTCATCAAGTTGCGCAATCTCAGCTTTTAGTTTATGCTGTGTGGCTTTCAGTTCTTGCTCATCTGCCCCTGCTTTTATACGCTTTTGCAAGTTCTTATATTCTTTATCTGCTTCCTTTCGTTCGCCTTTCAGGGCTTTTAGCGCTTCTTTATGCGCTTTCAATTCTTTGGCTGGCCATACTGCATACTCGTCTTCCTGCCATACCTCTTCTTCCAGTTCATTCACTTCGGTAAACATAGCTTCCAGTTCTTCACGCCTTGCCTCGTTGGCGCGTAGTTCCTTTAATACTTCGGGAAACTGGCTTTCTATTATTTCATCATCTGGTATCAGCTCGGCATTCCAACCGCTGGCGGCAACGCTTTTCAAGTCTATATTCAACTCATTCCAGTAAGCGGCCAGCGCACCACGGCTCTGGTAAATATCTAGTACCGTACCGCCTTTTCCCTTTCCAAATGGCAGTACACTCAGCGCTTCTGTAAAGCTTTCCGAGAACTTACGGTACAGTTCAAAAACATTTTTTGCGGTTGGTAATAGCTCAAAGTCATTTACTACCTCGTTCCACCATTGCTGCAAGCCATTATGATAGTTGCTAACCGTGTTTCTTATTTCAGGGCTGTCATCTAGCAGCTTTTTGATATCCTCTTTACGGTCAATGGCCGCAGCAAATTTTAGGTACCCGTCCTTCAAAGGATCAAACAATCGCTCGCGAAGACCGGGGTAAGAGGCGAAAAGTATATCCAGGTTATTCACCTCACCAATCGGAATACCGCCGTGCAGATGCGCGTGTACATCTTGCGGTTCCGCTGGCGGCGCATTGTCTACAAAGCGGCGAATGTTCAAATTGTATTCTTCAGCGGCAAGGTCTTCTTTGGTAACCAGCTTACTGTATTGCGGAATCTCCTTTTTATGCCGGTAAGCAAAAGCTATCTTCTCAATATCCTCGGCACGTAGTTTATTCTGCACCTTGCCTTCTTTGTACTCACGGTCTGCATTAATGAACAGCACCTGATCTCTAAGATGGGCATCCTTTTTATTTATTACGATCACAGAGGCCGGAATGCTGGTGCCATAAAACAAAGCTGGAGGTAATCCAATCACTACTTCTAAATAGCCTTTATCAATAAGTGATTTTCTAAAATTACGCTCATCACCACCGCGGAACAAGACCCCATGTGGCATAACCACAGCCATGCGCCCAGCATTGTTCAGCGAAGCGACCATGTGCTGCACAAATATAAAATCCGCCTTGCTCTTAACGGGCATCCAGAAGTTGAAGCGCTCTTTAAACTTCATCCCATCCTTGCTATAATTCTGCGAGAACGGTGGATTAGCAATAACAATATCAAAAGTCTTGAGCTCGCCTTTATCAATGTGTAGCGGGTTCATCAAAGTATCCTGATGCACAATATTGCTATCAT